GAAATAAAGCCGTTGACAGCAAATCCACTCGATTTTAGTGTGTTCGACTAAAATTCCCTGCGGCCATATTGTTTTCCGAATCCACCTAACACAGAAGGGAAAACTACCTTTCATCTCTACAGTTCATTTAGGGCTGACAATAATGTGTTACACGACACATTTTCTTACATTAACTATAACACATCCCCTACATTGAAGAAGTATGTGTTCTGCTAGGACTCTAAAGAAGGGAAGATGTCACTTTTTTTTTACTCAGCAACAATCCTAGAACAGAAACATATTCCACGTACAATATTCATAACCTTTCATAGAAAAATTATAACACAACCCAATATAAGGGAAGACAATGTATACATGACTAGCCTTTTCACAGACGGTCTCTGCAGGATGGTGTCAAAGATGCTTGATTTCTTTGAATTGTTGAAAGCATTCAATAGTTGTTTCCTCCTTTTGTTTTCTAGTCGATGTTTCCTTAACGCTTCCCTGAGAGGCATGTGGTACAAGTGGGTATGATTCTTCAGCCCGGTTCCACCTACTTTATTTGCCAAGTAAAATAGCCCACCCTGCAAGCGGCGCTCTTTGTATCTTTGGATGCTATGTCTGATAGTTTGCATTGAGCTGTCGATGGCGAGGCGATGCTCTTCGTAAGCTTCCCAAGTAAGCATGCCGTCCCTCACGCGTTCATTGTAGTCCTGGGGCGCTGATCTAAAAAGGACGCGTTTGTATGATTCACGGTACAACGATGTGGTCCTGAGCTGAAGGTGTCGGTTGACAAATGGGAAGGTGCCATACTCGTCGCTGCGGCAAAGTCTAAAACTTTTTCTTGGCATCTTGAATTTTTTTCTTTCCATGGCTTTTGCTGCACAATATAAAAAAGAGACTCTTAATCAGCATTGATGCTCAAAATATAATGAAGGACGGGACTACCAAGATCGATTCGTGAAATTCACAATGCTCCTCCGGAAAAAAATTCATGTCAACCCATGTAAAAAGGTGAGGATTATACCTGACGTCTCGGTTCCCACCGCTGCTAGTCTCCTTCAATCCACCCATACGAGCGCAGATGCTCGAGAACGATCGATGTGTTCGCCGCCTGCTGATATACGTACTCTGCTGGGTCCTTGGCGAGGTTTTTATATACAACAAAAGCAAGGCTGACTGTGCTTATATATAGAAAGTCCAATCCGAACTCGTACCCGTCACAGCTACCAACCGTACAGGTGGAGGAGTCCTTACCTGATTAGGCACATGAGGAGACGCAGAAAATAGTAAGTATTCCTTCGATGCGCCGTCGGACCAGCATAGACCCACCGACCTTTCCTTTATGCGTATAACCTGCTCGGTCTCACCGCAAAAGAAAAAAAAAACCTTCTCGGTTTAGGGCATCTCAAAATAAATCATCAAACAAATGCCACCAAATATCCACAAACATGCAGGAAGATAAAGTGGGCACCTGGTTTGATTTTCACTATGAAAAGATTCCACATTTTTGCTTTGAGTGTGGAAGATTCACTAGTGCAGAACTGGGCAATAGCACCGGTTCGGAGCCAGTGGCATTATAGCCTAATTGGTGCCTTCGGAGCACGATGACAATTGGAAGTGGTTTTCATGGGGGCGGTAGCGGGTAATAGTATTCTCCCTTCGGATTTATGACCTGGTCGAGCAAAAATCCCGCTATTTCCTCTTGAAGTGCTTCTACGTGCTCCGTTTCTAGGAGCTTCGCCCGCACCTCTCTGAACTGTTAAGAAGGAGATAAATATGCATGTGTATTAGTTGTGTGACTAGATATCGATAATGGTGTAAAAATTGTAAATAGTGTTTTGACAAGCGTACCCATTCCTGTCTTTGAGATCTGCTCCTTTCGGACGCTATCATGCGAATGTTCTTGCAAACGCAAAATGCACACAGATCAGTCCCCTGCGCCTGCTTCAGGACCTTTACGAGAATGAAATTTGATCAGATAATAATTAATCAAGCATGATAATTAAAGAGATGGCAGCTAGCTAGCTAGCTAGTACTACTTAATTACTTACCTTGGGTCTTCCCCATTTAAGTTTTTCTTTCCAGTCGCCGTCCGTGACCCTGATGAACCTTGCCCAAGCCCTGCCCGCCGACAAAGAAAATGAATAAAGGGGTTATTAAATAGTTCATATCATGAAATGACGAACTAAATAGGCCGAGATATATAATTAATAATGATTGAAATTACCTGTTGACTATCCCAAACAAGATGTTATAGTCAGTTTGCCTCGATGTGTTTGCCGCCTGCAGATATACGTACTTAGCTGGGTCCTTGGCGAGGTTTTTGTTATATACTCGTACAACAAAAGCAAGGCTGATTGGAGTCCAATCCGAACACGTACCCATCACAGCTACCAGCCGTACAGGTGGAGGAATCCTTGCCTGATTAGGCACATGAGGAGACGCAGAAAATAGTAAGTATTCCTTCGATTCGCCGTTGGAATAGACCCACCGACCTTTCCTTTATGCCTATATAATCAGCTCGGTTTCCCGGGAAAAAAAACCCTGCTCAGTTTAGGGCATCTCAAAATAAATCATCAAATAAATGCCATCAAATGTCGGCGAACACATTCAAACATGGGTTCAAACATATTCATGACATCCAATGGTGATCACCAGATGTCTCAGTCACATCCGTTCAGTTTCTGAGTACTGAAAACAAAACGAGATAAAAAAAAGGTGGCAAAGATAATAAAGATGGATCTTTTTTTTGGCTTGGAATACTTTGATAAAGGATTACATTGGGGCACAGTATAATTATAGTCGGTCAGATGGGGAAAGGATCCTCACTTCCACCAGTCACTTTTTCTTTTAACCGTACGATCAACATCCAACAGCCATCAAGTGCGCATTGTTCTTCTTCTTTTCTTTCTTCTTCCTCCGCCGTGATGTTTTCTCCTACCCCCTATCCTATCCTATTAGAAATAAATGGGCTTGACCCACTAACAATTTCTGAAATCTCAAAGTGGCCCATGTATAAAATAGCAAGTGGTGATTCTAAAGTTTAGTACCACCCTGAAAGTTGAGGAAGTGAGAGACCTCTTTATATAGTTGGTTCTCTACACTACACATATTGAGGTCTGAAGTAGAGAAATAAGAGGCTGCATGTGTGTGCGCTCGGCTCTCCATTTTATTTTTTATGTCTTGGCAGAAAAGTTAATTGATTTTTGTCCGGTAACTATACGAGTTAGAACCCAAGTCGGTTTGAGATCATGACAGCGACACGATACCGACTCTGGTCCTCTTATACGTACTGCTACTGGGCCGCAAACAAAGATACATAAAAAACACCTAGGTTTTTGCCTTATCTTGCAACTTGCGCCGCCACCGTAGTCTACTCTATCCCGAACACCGGCGTGGGGGAGAGCAGGTGTTCAAAACCGTTCGTTCTTGCAATCCTTCATCGGGAGAGCATGAATTTCGTTTTTTGGTTTTTTGGGAAGCGCTCTGCGCGACTACCCAAGTTTGTCATTATGGGTCGTCTTCCGTACAAGTAGAGCAGTGCTACTTATCATCGTCGTCGGCAACAGATCGTCGCCAACAACGTCGATCCTGCAGCAACTAATGAACCGTATCGTCCATCGTGATATATTCATGTGTCTACCTATAGTTGCTGTTACATGTGCAATGTTGTTGTGCATGTTTTTCTATTCATCTAGTATGTGCATTGGAGTTGAACATACAGTGACAGACAAACAGCAGGAGGATTTGTGTTCACACCTTTCTGTCCACCCAGGTGCCTCTGGATTGACTCTGTCAGTCGACTGAGCCGACCTCGTCGGTGATGCATCCCGACGATGGCGGTCTCCAACTCCTGTCATATCATTCCCATGGCCGCCGAGTTGTTGAGCACGACCAGACCCAGTATTCGAGTCCGCAGGAACGGCAAGGCTTTCCCACGCCGTGAGGACTTATGTCATGTCATTCCCATGGCCGCTGTGAAGACCCTGCCGGCCTGCTTTCCCACGAACACGACCTGCATCCAATCCGGAATGAAAGAGGTGGAATAGCGGTGATGGCTGACGGGGGAGGAGAGAAGGGAGATGGAGGAGGATGGGGAGGGAGGGTGCGATAGCTGCGAGGATCATGGAGAAAGGGGGCTAGGGTTTGGCTCGTGTGAACGAGACAACGAGGACGGGATTGTGTGTGGTGCGGGCGCAGATCTGGTTGCGGGCTAAGCTCGTAGGTGAGAGAATGGGAGATGAGTGGGCGCCGGCAGTGGGGTATAGGGCGGAGGCCGGGGTTGGGGGAGAGGAGGAGGCGGCTGGGTTTTTTTTTAAATGATAAGGCGGCTGGGTTGGGAGAATAGAAAGAGGAGGAAGATAGCGTCGGGCCGGCGGCTGGTTGGGTTTTTTAGGGAGGGAGAAAAAACTAGTTCGAAGAGGGTGGTGGGAGGAGAGACAAAAAAACCAGACAAGATAGATAGGTGGGAGATGAAACGAAAAAAAAAAAATCACGGGTACCGACCTACCAACTCTCCCTTAAAGAGTAGAGAAAATTATCCCTAACAACACCAAACCCCGTCAACTTTCAAATTATCCCCATGCCTAACAAGATCCGGCTTCACAAAAGAATACGGTGTGTCCCATATCGTGGCGTGAAGGTGCTTAATTACTTGGAATGTACATACGATACAAGGTAACCCCTAAATAAAGTCGTTGACAGCAAATCCTCACGATTTTGATGCGTTCGACCAAAATTCCCTGCTGCCCTGTTGTTTTCCGAACCCACTAAGAATATGTACACAGAAGGGAAAGCTACCTTTCATCTCTACAGTTCATTTAGGGCTGACAATAAATGTGTTATACGACACATTTTCTTACATGAACTACAACCCATCCCGTACATTGAAGAAAAGATGTGTTCTGCTAGGTCCTAGAGGAGACTCTCAAGAAGGGAAGATGACACAATTTCTTTTACTTTTTCTAACTCAGCAATAAGACTAGAACACAACCATACTCCACACTATTCATGAGCTTTCATAGAAAAATTATAAGGCAACCCAATACAAGGGAAGACACTGTATACATGACTAGCCTTTTCACATATGGTCTCTGCATGATGGTGTCAAAGATGCTTGATTTCTTTGAATTGTTGAAAGCATTCAGTAGCTGTTTCCTCCTTTTATTTTCTTGTCGATGTTTCCTTAACGCTTCCCTGAGAGGCATTTTGTACAAGTGCGTATGGGTAGTCAGCCTGGTTTCGCCTAAATCATGCGCAAAGTAAAATAGCCCAGCCTGCAAGCGGCGCTCTTTGTATCTTTGAATGCTATGCCTGATAGATTGCATTGAGCTTTCGATGGCGAGGCGATGCTCTTCGTAAACTTCCCACGTAAGCATGCCATCTCTCACGAGTTCATCGTAGACCTTGAGCGCTGATCTAAAAAAGATGCGTTTGTACGATTCACGGTACAACGATGTGGTCCTGAGAATAAGGTGCCCGTTGACCATTGGGAAGGTACCGTTCTCCTCCCTTCGGCAAAGTCTAAAACTTTTTCTTGGCATCTTGAATTTTTTCTTTCCATGACTTTTGCTGCACAATATAAAATGAGACTCTTAATTAGCCTTGATGCTCAAAATATAGCGAAGGACGGGACTACCAGGATTGATTCGTGAAATTCACGCATGCTCCTGGGAAAAAAATTCATGTCAACCCATGTAAAAAGCTGAGGATTATACCAGACGTCTCGGTTCCCACCGCTGCTAGTCTCCTTCATCAATCCACCCATAAGAGCAGATGCTCGAGAACGATCGATCTGTCTGCCGCGGCCGATATATGTACTCAGCTGGCTCCTTGGCGAGGTTTTTTATATACAACAAAAGCATGGCTGATTGTGATTATATATGGAGGTCCAATCCGAACTCGTGCCCGTCATAGCTGCCAGCCGTACAGATGGAGGAATCCTTACCCCGATTAGGCACAGCAGGAGACGCAGAACATGGTAAGTATTCCTTCGATTCGCCGTCGGACCAGCATAGACCCACCGACCTTTCCTCTCTATACGTATAACCTGCTCGGTTTAGTGCATCTCAAAATAAATCATCAAACAAATGCCACCAAATTTCCGCAAACACATTCAAACATGGGTTCAAACGTATTCATGGACAGCCGCCCGGGTATAGGCCATCCAATGGTGATGGTGATCATCAGATGTCTCAGTCACATCCGTTCAGTTTCTGAGTACAGAAAAACAAAAAGAGTTAAGAAAAAGGTGCCAAAGATAATAAAGATGGATCAATTTTTTTGGCTTGGAATCATTTGAGCACAGTATAATTACAGTGGATCAGCTGGGGAAAGGATCCTCACTTCCGTCAGTCACTTTTTTCTTTTAACCGTACGATCAATATCCAACAGCCATCAAGTGTGCAATGTTCTTCTTCTTTTGTTTCTTCTTCCTCCGCCCTGATGTTTTCTCCTACCCCGTAACCTATCCTGTTAGAAATAAATGGGCTTGAGCCATTAACAATTTCTGAAATCACAAAGTAGCCCTTGCATAAAATAGAAAGTGGTGATTCTAAAGTTTAGTACCACCCTGAAAGTTGAGGAAGTGAGAGACCTCTTTATATAGTTCGCTCTCTACACCACACTTATTGAGGTGTGAAGGAGAGAAATAAGAGACCGCATGCGTGTGCGCTCGCCTCTCCATTTCATTTTTTGATGTCTTGGCAGAAAAGTTAATTATTTCTCGTCTAGTAAGTATACGACTTAGAATCCAAGTCGGTTTGAGATCATGATCGCGACACGATACAGCCTCTGGTCCTCTTATATGTACTACTACCGGGCCGCAGCCAAAGATACATCGAAAACACTTAGGCCTCATTCGGTTTGGAGGATTTTCATAGGAAAAACATAGGAACAAGAATTCCAGAGGAAATTTTTCTATAGATGCATTCGGTTTATAGGAAAGGCGTACGGGAATATCGTAGGAATACTATTCATTTCCTGTGTTTTTGGAGGAAACTAGACATCCACTCAAAGCTCATTTTACACCTCGGAACGAGACAAGTCAATTCCTTAGGATGGCGAGTGTCATCCTATCAAATTCCTATACTAATCCTAATTCCTACATTTTAGTTTCCTCCAAACGGAATGAGCCCTTAGGGTTTTGCCTCATCTTGCAACTTGCGCCGCCATCATAGTCTACTTTATCCCGAACACCAGCGCGCGGGAGAGCAGGTGCCTGAAATCGTTTGTTCTTGCAACCCTGCATCGGGAGAGCGTGAATTAGGTTTTTTGGGAAGCGCTCTGCGAAACTGCCCAAGTTCGTCATCATGGGTCGTCTTCCGTCCAAGTCGGGCGGTGCTACTTATCTTCGTCTTCAGCAACAGATCGTCGCCAACATCGTCACCAACAACGTCGATCCCGCAACAACTAATGAACCGTACATCCATCGTGATATATTCATGTGTCTACCTATAGTTGTTGTTACATGTGCAATGTTGTTGTGCATGTTTTTCAGTTCATCTAGTATGCTAGATTGTTGCATGCTATTTTCTATTAGAGTCATAAAGTACTTACTGGAATTAATCATGATTTGTTCATCTAATCGATGGGGTCTAAACAACCCTAATCCATAAAATACTAATCGGAACAAAGGCATCGGGATTCTCCTCCCCGCAACCGCTCACCGGAGCGGAAGGCAGAGGGAAGGCGAATCCATGGGGTCGCCGGCTGGAGTGAGAGTTTGCTTTGACCGCCTAAGGTCTGGGGAATTTTCGATCGGGGGACGAGGAGACGAACGCTTGCGAGACGCCTATGATCTGTACTTTTTGAAAAAGGAAAAAATTGTATTGCTTTTGTATAAGGAACAAAAATCTTATCCGTATAAGGCTAGAACTCAGGACTCAGGAGCCTCTTCTATATATATATCTATACAATTTCCGTTCCGTAGTGTGCGATCGATCTGTTGGAATTAATTAAGCAGGCCGTGGTACTTTTGTCCGAGTAGTATTATAGGAATTCTAATCCAATCCGTACGTGGCATAGCACATATACCTAGCACCACCGTGCGTTTCCAGCCGGACGAGATCTAGCAAGCCTCCGGCGAGATCAGTCGACACCAGGTTCTGGCCGGAAAGCAATCGGCACAAAGCCGCAAGCTTGTGCTACGAACGCGCTCTCGCCGGAAAAGTCGGTTATGATGGTCGTCCCCGCGGCGGCATCTCCGAATCTTTACTTGCTCGACCTCGTGAAAACCGGCCGCAGGTTCATCGACCGTGGCCTCGTTCTCGCGGACGGCCAGGTGGACAACATCTATCTCCCTGTCGACACTTTCAAGCTTCTGCGAATCGATGACAGTGTTGAGTACAAGAACGTCGGCGACATCAAGGTGGTCGACAGGAGCCACCTGTATCCTGGACAGGTGGTTGGGTCGGCATCCGACATGGGCGGCCAGATCGGCGTCGTCACCGGCGTCAACACCATGCTCAGCCTAGCCAAGCTCGACAACAACGGCGTGCCGGCCAAGGTCATCAGGGGGGTGTCCCCGTCTAGCCTGCGGCGCGTCAGGAGCATCAACCTTGGAGACTTTGTCGTGTCCGGGCCGTGGCTCGGCCGTGTCGTCGAGGTGTCGATCGACGTCGATGTGTTGTTCGATGACGGAGCTGTTTGCAGGATCACCGACGCAGAGTCTACGAACCTGGCGAGAGTGCATGAAAGCGGCACCATGGTGACCATGCATCGCCGCCAAATGAACAGTGTATTGCACCAGGGGCAGCACGTCACCTTGCCAGGCGCTTGTTCACTCTTCAAGGATGCTCGCTGGCTTAATGGCTACTGGCATCCTTACCGACAAGTAGGCACCATCATGAAGGTGGAGACGGCCGGCATCCTCGTCTACTGGGTTGCATCCAGACATTGTGGCACCGACAAGGGGCTAGTGGAGGCATCCGCTCCTCCAGCCTACCAGAACCCAGATGATCTTACGTTCTTCTGCGCCTCATACAATTGCTGCTGGGGGCTTGCTGACCGTTGTTTTTTTCTAGAAACTAGTTCCACCAAAGAGGATCAAGCTTGTGCTCCTGATCAACACGATGGTGACGATGATGATTATGATGATGATGATAAAGATGATGATGATGATGATAAAGATGATGATGAGGCAGAGGAGGACGGGGAGAAGGAATACAACGCATGCTCAGAAGACAATCAAGAGGTGTGTGATGGATCAACCTCTCAGGTGGTACCACCCACCGAGCAGAAGGATGCGGGGTTTTATCGGAAGCAGCTAAGGAAGGTCGTCTTTGAGGGCCATAGACGAGCGCAACGGCCACAAGTCATGAGACATGTCGAGGTGGAGTTTCCAATGGTCGTCGCCGACACCTGCACCACCGTCGATGTGTTGTGGCAGGATGGCACACGACAACATGGCAGACGTTCAGCGACCGTCGTTCCCTTTGGGATCTGGAATGAGCAAGAGTTCTTCCCGGGACAGCGTGTTGTCGCCAACGTTCTTCCTATTAGCGCTGCCGTTGAAGCTACTGGTGACCATGATGATGTGACAACTACTAGCGTCAACAATAACATTGATGCGTCCGGAATTGGACCAACGGAGCGTGTGGGAATCGTCAAGAGCCTGCAATACGAGGACCAGACGGTTTGTTTATCATGGTTCAAGACGTCAGGGCACCCAGATGAGGCTAGGGAGGTCGACTGCGACCAAACTGTCAGTGCTTACGACCTAAAATTGGACTCTAACCACTCTGCTTACTATGGTGACATTGTCATTCGTGTCCTACCATCGGGATCAACAGATGACGGTGAAAGTGCACCCTTGATATTGGGAAACAAGAAGAAAAATGTCGTTCCCGCCGATCTTTCATGGGTGGGGCGGGTAGTTGAACTTCCTAGTGGGCACATCCAAGTCAAGTGGGGTGATGGTAGCACGTCAACGGTACGTGGATAGTTTCTAGTACCTTTCTTAGATCTACATATATGTTACGTTCTCTACTCAACTTTGTTGATTTGTTTGGGCGTGCTGCAGGTATCGCCCGATGAGATCGTTGTCGTCAAGGACGAGCACTACATGGACCTATTGCTTGAAATGGGCGACTGGGTAGAGGACGATGGCATCGATGACGCACCCGAAGAACCGGTTGCTGCCAATACGGTATATATCTATCTTTCTAAACATTGTCCACTTCGACAAACAATGAGGTGTGGGGACTATTTTGGTTTCTCCTGGTAGGCAGCAAAGTACTATTTATTCTATGATAAATGATTATATGGAAAGCGTCAGCCCGGCAATTGATGTGGTTATATGTGTTATCTTATTTTAGGACATTGATCTTCAGAATCTAGATAATGATGTCGAAAGCGTCAGCCCGGCAATGTCAAGGACAAGCCTTTTAGGTTTTCCATTCCGGTCTTTGCTCCAATTGACCAGTGACGTGGTAGCTCGAGGTAAAGGATACCTGATGAACTGGCGGCCCTCGTCGTTGTCACCAAGCTCAGAGTTACCCGCGCCCGCAAACGATGATAGTATCGGTGGTGCTGCTGCAATGGGGACCAACGATGCTGCTGTAGATTTGACTTGTCACGGTTTTGCCGGGGGGATGAAGGCTGCGGATGCTACCTGTTGCTTTCCACGTTTCGATGTACTGCAGATGAGCCCTCTGGATCACCACTACCTTGAGATTACGGACCAGGTAATTATATATATGTTAGAAAATGATGAAGAACGGAGGTAATTAAGGTTAGAGTAAGGGATGTTTACATGCACAGTATGGTTTGTCTAACGGTGGAATCCATCTTATGGCATTCTTTTTTTAATGCAAAACTAAACTCTCTGACTTAAAATAAGTAAATGACCACACAACATGTTACAACTCATTATAAAACGAATTTTACTAACTGAAGAACTTTAATCAATACTCTTTTTTTCAAGGAAATGCAGGGCGCTAGTCGTGAGAAGAGTTGGGCCAAAACAGTGCAAAAGGAATGGAAAATTCTGGAGAACGACTTACCAGGTATGTGAGTGCACCTGAAAATACACGGTCCATATGCTTGGCTACAAATGAATAGCCAACCATTTAATGTGCAGAAACCATCTACGTGCGAGCATTCGAGGACCGCATGGATCTGCTTCGGGTGGTGATGGTGGGTGTGAGCGGGACACCATACCATCATGGCCTTTTCTTCTTCGATCTGCAGCTACCTCCGTCATACCCGTCTGCCCCACCGCAAGTGTACTACCACTCCTTCGGCTTACGGCTCAATCCCAACCTCTATGAGTCTGGTACGGTGTGCCTCAGCTTGCTAAACACATTCGGTGGCGAGGGCACCGAGGTCTGGTCCTCGACGACATCAAACCTCCTCCAAGTCGTTGTCTCCATCCAGGGCCTTGTCCTCAATGACCAACCATACTACAACGAGGCCGGGTATGGAACATTGGTCAACAAACCAGAGGGTCGCCGCAATGCGCTGCCCTACAATGAGAATGCTTACCTGCTTACCCTTCGGACAATGCAACATCTTTTACGTCGACCACCTCAGGGATATGAGGAATTCGTTAAGGAACACTTCTGCCTTCGGGGAAGGTTTGTGCTCAGGACATGCAATGCGTGGTTGCAGGGAAATAGTGTCGACAATGCTCATGACACTGAAGCAAGTAGGAAGCGGTCGTGCTCGGCTGGGTTAAGGCTTGCACTCACCAACGTGGTGCCAAGCCTCATGACAGCCTTCACAGAGATCGGAGCCGAGGGATGCGAAGAGTACCAGTAGCTATGAATCAAATTGCCATGTGCTGCAACTCACTAGAGAGACGAGTATGTGATGGTGAGACCTTTGCTACACCTACAGATTAGATTGGATTAGTTGAAATGAGGGATACGCAGATATATGATTTTTGGTGATGGTGGTTGTTTTGTAATCGTTCACTTTTTTGTTCTACAACAATCTATACGTACTCCTATTTGCTTTATTTTCTTGGTACACATAGGTTACGAATTTTGCTATTGCTTATTAATTCGTCTACAAAGGGAGGTCTGGTACGGTAAAGTGGGGAAATATGCTTCCCTGCCACAGCTTTATAATCACTTCCAAAAGTAATAATTTTGGTTAGCATATAAGATGGTTCCAAAAGTATATCATAGCCATGTTAAAACAAATGTCATTCTGTTTAGAACCTTGTTCTATACCTTCTCGTATTTGTCTAATCACAAATTGTCATGCTGCATATATACCAAAACCCCTATTTCCCGTCAAGATTTTCTCACCACGTTTACCCACTTGTCTTGCCGGGATGTATGGACCTATGGTTATGTGACGCGTGTATTTCTTTGGTACCCCATTGGGTAGAATTCACTGTGGCTTTTGGCTTCCGTTGGTAAATTTTCTTAACGTGTTTTGTGTTTGTGTGTGTACGCCACGTACGGTGTGGGCCGTGTTTCTCCCGTTGACCCAATTGTGCAGTCTTTCCTGCGTGTGTCTTGCTGCATGCATGGGCTTATATGTGTTGGGCTTCCTTGTCATCCTCCCGTCATCCTTGGCTCGCGTGTGTATGTTTGGGTGACCCACGTGTGCCATCAACTGATGTTTTAATCGGTGCCGCTTAGCTCGGCCGATATGTGTTGGCTCGCGTGTCTATGTTTGGGTGACCCACTTGCTGCATGCATGGGCTTATATGTGTTGGGCTTCCTTGTCATCCTCCCGTCATTCTCTCCAAACATTCCTTGCCAACGAACGATATAAGAGCACACCGACATATGTCTGACTCGGCCAGCTGCGGATTGTGTGGAGCCCCAGATTCATGGAGGCATTCCTTAGTGGCATGTACTGCATCAAGATGCATTTGGGCGTTAAGTGACAGCGAGCTAGCACATAAAATGATGACGGTGGAGGAGCCTTCTACAAAGCATTGGCTGTTTATTCTGAAGGGAACACTCTGAGCATGACATGTTTGTACTTCTACCAATCACTCTGTGGACCATCTGGTCGGCCATCGCGTGTCTATGTTTGGGTGACCCACTTGCTGCATGCATGGGCTTATATGTGTTGGGCTTCCTTGTCATCCTCCCGTCATTCTCTCCAAACATTCCTTGCCAACGAACGATATAAGAGCACACCGACATATGTCTGACTCGGCCAGCTGCGGATTGTGTGGAGCCCCAGATTCATGGAGGCATTCCTTAGTGGAATGTACTGCATCAAGATGCGTTTGGGCGTTAAGTGACAGCGAGCTAGCACATAAAATGATGACGGTGGAGGAGCCTTCTACAAAGCATTGGCTGTTTATTCTGAAGGAAACACTCTGAGCATGACATGTTTGTACTGCTACCAATCACTCTGTGGACCATCTGGTCGGCCAGGCGGAAGGCAATACACGAGGGAATTTTTCAAAGCCCACAATCCACACAAGCATTTATCCACAAGTTCATAGATGATCTACAGATAGTACAAGGTCAGCAAAACACACCAGCAGTCCGGGCAAATATACCCCCTACCTCTACACGGCACAGGGCCAAGGCACCACCACAGGGTTACGCCAAAATCCATGTTGACGCCGCTGTTAGGCATGAACGAGGTGGAGCAGCGGCAGCGGTATGCAGGGATGACAGAGGAAATTATCTGGGAAGCTCGGCGTTGGTTGTTTATGGTGTGTGCAACCCAACCACGCTGGAGGCAATAGCGTGTAGGGAGGCGTTTGCACTCGCGGAGGACCTGAACTTGATGAATTTCGTGATCTCCAGTGACTGCAAGCAAATGGTGTCCGACATCTCCAAAGGAACTTTAGGGCTCATGGGGCAATAATTAAGGAGATCAGGGCAAAAGCAACTTCTTTTAATTCTGTTTCCATCTTCGAGGGACGTGCTGTTAATTATGAAGTATGTAGATTAGCTCGTTTTTCTCTTTCTCAGGGTTTGAGACGCCACGTTTGGTTTGGTAGCCCCCATGACCCTCGTTGTATCCCACATCATGTGGATTTTGGTGATGAATAAAAGTTCTTTTCACCCCAAAAAAAAAAAAAAAAAGCTCGGCCGATCTAGAAGCGCTGCCCTTGAGTGGTGTGTGTTTGTTTTTGATTTCCCCTTGTATCTCTCTGTTGGTTATAAATAGGCCGTCTGTTTCATAGCATTGTGTGCATCACTGGAGCCCTTCGCCCCCGTCGTGGTGGTGGAGAGTTGGTGCCTCCGAAGCCGACGTGAGGACGCCCCTTGCCCCTCCGCCTCAGCATCAACTACAGGATGACGAGCACTCGGCGGCTGCTTCTTCTTTGATGTCTACGTCGTGCCCTCTGCCGTCCGTGTTGGTTCACGGTAGTTTTCTCCGGAGCGACCTTCGTCGTTCGGGTCCTCCTCCTGGAGTCCATGGGGCTTTTGGATGTACGGGGTCGTGGTGTAAGCATGATGGAAGGTGCTGCTGGTGGCGTCTGTTTGATGATCATTTATCGTGTGCGAGTCGTGGTGGTCGTGCTCCCGTTGACTCCGTATCCGCTGGTTGGTTTGGTTTAACTGGTGGGCTTTTGTTAATCTTTCCTGCACGTGTTTGTTTGATCGCTTTTTGGGAAAGCCTCCTGTTGATTTTGTTGCCGATGAGTTTGCGTGATTGTGTTCTGTTCAAAAAAAATATTTTGTCATCAGTTACTACATGCATGCGGTTGTGTGGATTGTTGTTCAGCGTGTATATGTATGGTCTACCGTCGCTCTCTGCTGCTCAGTACTCCAGGCGAGCGCCACCGCCGGACAGACGAGAGTCCCGACCCCAAGGTCTGCGAGGTATCCCCTGATGTGCTGCTCCACGGCAAAACTGACGGCGACGAGCGCGTGGCTATGCTACTCCCATGCCTCAACTATCTTCTTCAGCAGTGCGGACTGTATTACTCTCGATTAAATAACTGCTTATGTGACCAGCCAGTGTATCCATGCAGCGATATATGTTCTCTCCTCTTAAGTTTTTTTGCGGGACACTTAATCTCTATTCCTAATGAACGAATTGGTTGAATAGTCCCCCCAACTTTCAACCGGTTTATTTTCAACCGGTTTTTCTTCATCCCACCTCCCACCAGCCCCTCCCACCGGCTTTTCTCTTTTCTCGTCTGACCGGCAATACCCAACGTATTTATGGTAATCAATCATAATTAATCCACGTATAGTAATAAATCGATCTAGGTATGGTAAGGTCATAACTCAGGAAATTTTGAATATGGTAATTATATGGTAATAAATGTAAATTACCTCAAAGGTTATCAATCCAGGTATGGTAAGGCCATAACTCGGGAAATATCGAATATGGTAATAAATTTAAATTACCACCAGGTATGGTAAGGCTATCCACGTATAGTAATAAATCATATAGTAATAAATCATAATTAATTCACGTATAGTAATAAATCAATCCAGATATGGTAAGGTCATAACTCAGGAAATTTTGAATATGGTAATTATATGGTAATAAATTTAAATTACCCCAAAGGCTATCAATCCAGGTATGGTAAGGCCATAAATTGGGAAATATCGAATATAGTAATAAATTTAAATTACCCCAAAGGCTATTAATCCAAGTATGGTAAGGCCATAACTCGGGAAATATCGAATATGGTAATAAATTTAAATTACCACCAGGTATGGTAAGGCTATCCACGTATAGTAATAAATCATATAGTAATAAATCATAATTAATCCACGTATAGTAATAAATCAATCCAGGTATGGTAAGGTCATAACTCAGGAAATTTTTAATATGGTAATTATATGGTAATAAATGTAAATTACCCCAAAGGCTATCAATCCAGGTATGGTAAGGCCATAACTCGGGAAATATCAAATATGGTAATAAATTTAAATTACCACCAGGTATGGTAAGGCTATCGATCCAGGTATGGCACGCCCTCACCTGATCACCTATCACAATCTCCAGCCGGCACCAAAGAACCCACCCGGCACCAAATGCAGCTCCTCTCGATCCCCTCGAGTAAACGCCGCCACCGTCGTGCGATCTTCCTGACACAGACGCTGTCGCCGCCTCCTTCCCACCTACGGCGTCCCCCACGTCCATGGTGACGGCGCTCGCGTCCTACACTGACCCTCCGCCTCATATAGGTTGGTCGTTGATGGAGTGGGATGTGCCGCTGCGGTTTGGGGAGGCGCAATCACGATCTGGTTGGGATCTCAGTGTGGACTCATTCTCTACGATGAAGGATGGCGCTGCCTCCCTGGCAAATGGGATCGGAGGAAGGGGCTCTACGTCGTGAATGTCGGCGAGGCAGCGGCCGAAGGCGAGCCCGATGGTGAGCACGGGTGTTCGTCCCATGAAATAGGCGGCCACGGAGGGCGGATCTGAGGCCACCCCAATCGCCGGTGGCCCTTCCTCCCATCGCTCATCGCCTCCATTTCTCTCTCCTCTAAATCTTTGTCGCCCCTGCCTGATTCTGGCCGACGCCATCCGGCTCTCGCATCGACCACCACCAGCACGGCTGCGGACGAGGCGCAACCGCAGACGCCGCCGCCGCCATCCTCATCCACCTCCTCCACCATCCTTCCCAGCCGTCGTCGGGGGCACCCGCCATCCGCGCTCTAGCCCACCCGCTCCCTCCTATCCCCTCCCCCTGCCTGCAAGCCCCGTGATCCATCGCACAGATGGCAGGTACTACAGCGACCTCCTCCCCAGCGGATCCGGCCTCCTCCGATGGAGATCCATCCTGGGCACCGCCTTATTCTCATGCGTGCACGTCTATATCAACGTCTCATTCCACCTCACCTGAGCCTTTACCTTCCCACCTCTGC